GCACCAGTACAAATACGTGCACGCGTTGCGCGTGTTTTGCTTGCTTCATGAGCGTTTCTGTATTATATGAGTGACTTTGGAATATAAATCGCAGCACGTTTCAGATGAAAAAACGCGACTTCTATCTCTGAAAATATCACAGTTAGGAGCTGTATAACGAGTGGTTCCCTGCATTATTAGAGCAAAGTGCGTGACTACAGTACTAAGCCGCTGCAATGGAGCAGCTCCAATGCTATTAAATTAAAGATGATGTACATAGAGCAAAACAATGTTCTAAACTATAGCAAATAAACTGTGATAATGTGAGAAATGTTGAAGGTGTCTGAATAAATTTTGGTTTGACTGTATCTATTTGATAAATTAAGTTAACCAACTAACATTATACATACTCTTTTGGTTTCTGTACCCAATATTTTAAAAATGTACAAATGCAATAAAAATATTGGTATCGGTACTCGGTATCGGCAAGTACCAAAAATAAAAGTATCGTATCGGGCGAGTACTGGAAAAAGTGGTATCGGTGCATCCCTAATAATAATTATAATAATATAATATTTTATAATAAAACCTTAGACCTTTCGAATGATTTATAGATATAGGCCACCCTGTTAACAGGCCACCCTGCAGTTTTCCATAAAATAAGATGTTTTTATTATTGTTGTTGTTGTTGTTATTATTATTATTTTCTAACGTCTTTATAATGTATATATAATGTCAGGCTGCAGGGTATACATTAACTGCACACTAAATTCAGTAGCATTGAATAAATATTGTGACAAGTGCTCTGTTCCACTTAACACATTTTCTTATGTAATTATACAGTTAAACTTTGAAGAGATTGAAAACATTTTTGTAGGTTACCATTATTACCAACAATTAATTATTTGTATTTATTAATAATTTTAATGTTTTTCAGCACTAACAATTTTTAAAAAATAAAATAAAATAAAATAGTCACACGATAATTACATTATTTTATATATTGCAAATTTCTCCCCCACCTCCCTGCAAAGAATAGCTTCAGCAGATTCCGGGTAAGGCAACAGAGAACTATAGGTTAGTCATAGCACTAAAGTATAGTGCATTACCCAGACCCAGAAAAAAAAAAAAAAACACTAGACTGCCTCCAAGAGAACATGACCACCCACAAAAATGTGAGAAATTATTTATAAACTTCTGAGAAATTATTTATGTAATTATCATTTATATTATACTTACTTATGATTATTTATACACGTTTTCAAACAAAACACCCATAAACCTAGAATTACACCATGGACATAGACATAGTAAAAACAACAGCTGAGTTTAATGCACCGTAACAAAGGTCCGTTAATTGCAAATTTTGCCATGCCTAATGTCCACCAGGGGGAGACTCAGGCACTTTGACTCAAGCTCTTTATCATTAAAGGTAGAGTTTTCATTCTGCACACAAGTATTAAATCATGTCTCATGTGTCAGTACCCATCATTTGCATTAACCGGTCACTATTCGTGACCTTTGAAACCTTTAAGATTAATTTTGCATCTCATTTTCATATATTTTACATTTAAAAATCTTCCCATTGTTCAAGCCTGTTTTCATTTCTGTGTATCCTGGTATGATAAGTATCATCCTCCAAATATTTAGAACATATATCACAGTGTATGTGCTTGCATTTGAAGCCATTAACAGGCAGTAAAGTTGAATTAGTTTGAAGAAAGTATTTGTCAACTTGAATGCTTCATGTTCACATGCTTTAGTAATCTTTATATTTGACTAATGCTGCAGTAGGGACAAGAGGTGGATAATACTGTCATCAAAAAGTTTATTTATATATTAATTGCATGAATAATTATATTTTACTTGCTAGCCTCCTTTTTATTATGACATCACCAGGCCTACATTTGACCAATATGTAGCTGTCTATTATTTATTTTTTTATTTTATTTTTATTTTTTTGGTGTGCACAGTGGTTTGACAATGTTATGCAAAGCAAAAACTTAGTTTGCATGACATTCGGTATATTTGCATGTAAACACAAAATACCAGGTTGGGGCAAGACGTCACATGATGTATATGTTGTAATTTAATTAATACAATGTATTACTACTTTAATTACAATTTCTGTTGGCAAAAATAATGTGATATTTGATCAAATAAAAATGGTATAATTATGTTGTATTGTTAAGTAGCTGGAGTAGAGGATTCTGTAACAAACGCACTTATATATGATGCCTTTTTAATGATGAAGTGATTGCATAAGCTTTAAATGCAGTGATGTAGTGGTGATATGAGAGGCTGACCTGGGATCAGCAGGTTGAGTGTGGAGTGTCACTTCCTGTAAGTGCAGAGAGAGGCAGTGCTGAGTTAAAGACACACAAACACAGACACATTACAGCAAAATAGCGAGGGAAGAGAGAGGCAGATTATCTGAGTTTCAGCCGCTTCTCTGATTTTCAAACATTTGATCATGAATATATCGAGAAGATCCGATTGAATCTGTCGTTCGTGTGTGTAAAGGAGTCAAAGCGAAACCTTTTTTTCCCCGTGGCGCACGGATTTCTCGCTCTATTTATCAGCCCGATACACTTCAAATCATCATTACAGGAGATATTTGAGATATTATTATTATTTACTGTGTATTTTGGGAGAGAGAGGCTTTTGAACATGGGATGTTTGGGTAACAGCAAGACAGAAGATCAGCGCATCGACGAGAAGGCGCAACGAGAGGCGAATAAAAAGATCGAGAAACAGTTACAGAAAGAGAGACAGGCGTATAAAGCCACACACCGCCTGCTCTTATTAGGTAAGACAGGATTCTATAACCGATACATTAATAACAGATAGATATGTGTCAGCAAACTTCGATCAGAGATATGGATAGATCTTCATCATCATCATCATCATGGATGGATGGATAATTTCTCCATGGCCCTGGAAATACTCATATTTCAGCTATGTACCATCATATGTCTTTTTTCTATGCTTTTTAAGGCGCTGGGGAATCCGGGAAGAGCACTATAGTGAAACAGATGCGGATCCTGCACGTCAACGGCTTTAACGCAGAGTGAGTGTGTGTTTATTTACTTAGCGTTATTTACTGACACCGGGCCTTTACTGTGTTTATTATAACGGATGCTGCATTTATGTATGTTGAGGATGTTAGAATGTTGACGGACGCCTCTGCGTTCGGTGCGTTTCAATGGCTGTCGCTAAACCTCGTGAGCTGCCTAACTTACTTATACTGTATTTTTGGATATCATAGGCGTGTGTAGCATTTTGGGCCTCATTTTTGGTCAACATAGACGCATGCAAATTTTTTCGAGACTCAAATTTGAGCGCCCACCTATACAACATTTTTGGGATAGGTGTGTGCAGCATTTTAAGCATCATTTTTTGTACTGCGTACCCAGACAGCATTTTTGGCTCATGTAGTCTCATTTTTTTGTGTTGTTTACATAGACAGTATCTTTGGGCCTTATCTCATGGCAGATAAAACAGTTAGATAATAACTAGATTGATTATGTATCAGAGTGTTGTGCTGTTATTTCCATGTTCACTATCAGGATGGCCAGAAATGAGGTCACACTGTGTGCAGTATGTGCTGTGTTTAGGCATGTGACTGCTTATAATCATAACTTGGCCATTGATAAGGCCCAAATTTGAGTAATATTATAGTCACATTAGTAAATTGTGGAGAATTTTTTTGACACTCATTCATTCTTTAATGACAGTTGTTTCCTCCTATTTTCTTCCTTCTCTGTTCAGAGAAAAGAAGCAAAAAATATTGGATATTCGGAAAAATGTGAAGGACGCAATTGTGGTAAGTCATTTTTGTAAATTACATTTTTTTTTATCTCTAGTAGTTGTGTTTTGCTGATTACTGTGACTTAATTTATCCCACATTCAGCCTGCTTTAACACCTCTGTTTCCATATTCCAGACGATAGTATCTGCTATGAGCACCTTAACGCCCCCTGTGTCAATCGCCAACCCGTCCAATCAGCCTAGAACTGAGTACATCAAAAGTATAGCTCCACTCTCAGATTTTGACTACACAGAGGTAAGACACCACATCTCAATCTGTTACAGCACTAAGTGGAATAGCTAAAAAAAAAAGAATTTTCAAGGTAAATTGATTTCACATACGTCGATGTCATAACATTGTGGGTCATTTGTTTGGTATTATCGAAGATCATGTTAACTAGGGCAGATTAATTAAATATGTTTGTTAAATGTAACTTTTTTTTTTTTTGGTGACATGAATTACAATGGTTTCATTTTATGCTATTTGACTTTTTAACACTAGTCACAATATGCACACATTCTTTTATTATTATTATTATTATTATTATTATGCAAGTAAAGAATGTGAGTGTGACGATATTTACATGTGCCAAATACAAAATTACAAAAAAAAACAAAGACAGGACAAACAAGCATAAATACTAACAGCCAACAAGTCCATTCTGATAACTCCTGTATGTGTATTCTCGTTCTTATTTATAAATGATAGAGAAAAATCTGTATTGTTTACTGTATTGAAATATTGAAATTCAAAGTCATTTGCAGTCATTAACCATGTCACGTCATGCTCATTCCTGTACTTAACATTAAACAAATGTGCAGTGGCCAAGGGTATTTCTTTTAATGCTTGTAAAATATGAATTTCCTCCTAAATCCACAACTGATCAGGTTTAGTAGGTATAATATGTACAGTGGAATAATGTATTTAATTAACACATGAATTAGAGGGTTACTTTATCCATCATTTACATCATTAACCTATAAGACGTTTGTTCATCTTTGGAGCACAAATGAAGATATTTTTCTTCATTTCTATTTCTTCTATTTATTTTTGTTTATCCATTGAAAGTACACACAGCCAAATCTTTCACACATTCAAATTTACAAATAGACGTCCACATGAACGGAGCAGATTAATCTAGTGAGGTTTGTTCTTGTGAGTCAAGCCAGCATGGTTGATTCTCCAGAAGACTTTTATTAAACCTGTACATAGATATGGCTAAAGCAGTGGTCTCAAACTCAATTCCTGGAAGATCACAGCTCTGCAGAGTTTAGCTCCAACCAGCTCCAACTCACACCTGCTTGGAAATGTTGGAAGCAGTTACCTTTAGCCAAAAAAGTAACGGCTAATGCTAACGCTTCCGCTTTGGCAGTATGTGGGAAAGGAGACCAGAGGCCGTTTTTTTTCATGGATATCAATGGAGGAGAGGCTTCACTATGCTGAATAAACATCTTTATAGAAGAAACAGCTTATCATTTAATGAATCGACAGCCTATTGGCTAATCTTCAACATGTTTTACACTAAACAATACTTTTGGATTTAGCTATTTTTACACCGAAAAAATTCTTTATATTAAATAATCTTGTCAACAAGTTTAAATAATCTTGTCAACAAGTACAACAGTTTTGATGTGTTAACTATACTATAGCAATTAAGTATATTCTTTTAAAAGTACATTATTTCTGTAATGAGAACAGCATGCTAAAATGTGGAAATAAAGGGTTTCGTTTTATAAGAGAAGTCATTGACTTTTTGCGACAAGGGGGATTCAGCTTACGGCATTTCTCATTCATTCCTATGGTATCCGTAAATGGCGACTGAGTGTCACACAACTCTGACTGAAATTCAATGACATCAAGGCTGGAATGTGAATGGTTATTAAGGCACACGTGATCCAAGTTGACCGTTATGCTTTCTCCAATAGTAAGTAATACAGACCCTCGTATCTCCCAATAGTAAGACAATCTCTGGTTTATAGTAATCCTGAAGATCTTGATCAGGTGTGTTTGATTAGGGTTGGAGCTAAATTGTGCAGAGCTGTGGCTCCCCAGGAATTGAGTTTGAGACCACTGGCCTAAAGGGTGTTGTTAAGCTAAAAATGCAGTGGCTTCATTCACAATATAGCATAGCCTCAAGATCTTTGATCTTCACTGTAATGATCTACAGGGAGATGTTTGTGTCAACATTAAACCATGTGACAAATCCTTACATTTTGTTTGTGGTTTGTTTATGATTGGAGTCTAACTGTCTCCATGACCTCACTACTGTTTGCCTCAGGTCAAATGCAACAAGACCATTGCTCTGAACAGTTTTCATATTTGTCTCATGAACCTCAAAGCAAATGTGTTGTCTTATTTGATGCACTCAGTGATGTGGTGTACAAATAAACACTCATGAATGTGTTATGATGATTAAATTATTCTTACACAGAATATGTGTAAACACTGATATCTAAGTGTTTACAGAAACTTTAGCATTATTTTAGTGTCTTTCACCTGCAGTTATGTACAAAGGAATGTCAGACACCATTAGAAAAATAATAAAATTTTTAGGTCTGGCCGATATAACACATATTCACAATAGGCCTGTTCACCATGATATCACTGACGAAAATACATTATGCAGTGTTGTAGTCTTGGCATGATATTTTTCATGTATTAAACGTAGAGCTGTGAATCTTTAGGTTGACAGCTAATTAATTTGATTCTTGATTCCCTGACTTTGTTAAATTCAAAAGCAATTTTTGCTAATTCAAAACAGTGATACTTAAATCAATATGCAATATTAACAAAGATTAGATTCAGTGATTTTTTTTTCCCCCTTTTCTATAGGATTTTTAAAAAATACTTTGTCTAATGTGTCTTATGCATGAAAATTTCCAACTACTACTGACTGTTGTAACAAAAGTAACTTTTGGAAAGACATTACCATTACTTAAGAGTGAAATACAAATAGCGTGTAGACTGAGTGACAAGAAATGTAAGGGTTAATTTGACTGTGTACATGTAAGTAGGGCTGTCACGATTATGAAATCTGGCTGATGATTAATTGTCTAAAAATAGTCACGGTTATAGCGATTAATTGTCTTGGGGCTTTGGCGATTATGATGATTATGCCGATTATCATGATTAATTTTCCGTTTTTTTTTATGGCTTTCATTATATAACTGTGATTATATATTGAATTATGTTGTTATCTTTTAATCTTTTTTGAGTTATTATTTTGCAGTGTAAGATTACATAGAGTATTCCAGATTCTAAGAATCGGCCAATACCGATCCAACACCAGCGCAATCTTTTTTCTACACCACTACATAATATCAATACTGTGTTTGTGGAACTAATGGTCACTCTTTTTTTAAACCCTTTGTTAAACATAATCCACTAAATACTCACTTCCTCATTACAGAGAAACACTACATTTGAATAAAAATATATAAACTATGAAATTAAACTAGCTGACTGTATAATTTAGCAGCAAAAACAATATCTTGAAAAAAATCTTTGGTGCACATTATACAATTTAAACATGTTTATTCTGTTAACTATTTATATTCTTGCAAAATACATTCATGAAAATAATATAGAAATCATGAGGGAAAAAAGCTTCTAATAATCTTTCTGTGTGCAAAACTTTGATAATGTGAAACGCTTCAAACAGAGCGGCACAAAGCTCTTATGCACATCCAGGGTGCAGAATAGTGCACTTGAAGCAACATAAGTCACAGCACGCTGTACTCCACACGGTACAAACAAAGAGAAGAGAAATGAGAAAGAAATGAACTCCAGCAAGATGTCATTTTATGCGAATCCCCAGACCTTTATCTACACATCAAGTATTATAATGGGAATATATCATATTTAGGGTTGGGTATCGAGAACCGGTTCCAAATTTCCAATAATTGGGTATTCGATAAGACATGTGCATTTCGATTCCGCTTAACAATTCCCGCGTTCGCATTTTAATGTAATCTTAAACTATTTAAGTGCAGGAAGGGAAAGAACTTGCACACTGTTTGCGTGCAGCGCACACATTTGAAGCACGAGCACAGAGAACAGTGGTCCCGATGCAGTTTCCCGACCTGTGTCCATTCTCGAACTGTTCCGTGCATTTCCACAAAGGTTGCTCCGGGCCAGAATTGACTTCTCTTTCACATTTATCGAGTACGTCGGTATATCATCATAAACACAGCCGTTTTTTTTTTGTTTTAAGTGAACTTAAACAGATGAGAAAGAAAACGCATGTGTAATTTTTAGATCTGTGTGTGTTCGGTGTTAAAGATACAGCCATCTAATAAACGTGCTGCCTATCATTAATGTTAATCAAAGAACAAAAGAAAACTGACTGAATATCTTTTGTAAATTTAATGAGGATTAAACAAAATTTTATTTATGAAAAGAAAACTATACAGTGTTTTTAAACTTTTGATTTCAATTTCTGTACCTGACATTTGTTCAGTTTTATTTATTTATGCTATTGCTAATTAATTTGTTTACTTGTCTTTAACAATTGAATGTTTGAAATTTATATTATTCTAGTGTTATTTTTTTTTTATAAAACCATAGACATAAAACAGAATAAATATGTTTGACATCTAAATATTTGACTTAAAATTTGTTTAATGAATTTTTTTTATCTTATTGGAATCAGAATTAGGAATCGATAAGAATCGGAATCGATAAGCAGAATCGGAACCGGAATCGGAATCGATAAAATCCAAATGATACCCAACCCTAATCATATTGGAGAGAGAGTTTTACCGTGCTGACTGTCATAACTGAATGTGACGTGCTGTTTGAATGCTGAGCGGAGAATAACTGACAGCTGCAACAGAAGGAAGATCAATTTCTGTAAACTTAAATTTAACAATGTAAATATAATTCTGTCCCTCACATTAAGATATGGAATGGCTTCAGATGATATAGGCTATACAGTGCATGATAACCAAACTGGTGCTCTTCTGTTTCTTTTGGTGTATGACTCCCTGTTGTGCCGTATAAAAAGCACAATAATCGATCAAATAATCGTGATTAGATTATTTAATTATCGCGACAGGCAAAAATATGTAAGCATTTTTCTCTACCGAGAAGGGACAGAAGGTATTTATAACATTATTCCCCCCGCTGCTGATGCACAGATCAAATATTACATCTGAGGAAAACATATATTGTTCTTGATTTCTTAGTTTCCTTAACTTTATATCATGGCTTGTGCAATGATGTGCTTTCATACTGTGGTTGCCCTCATGTGTCAT